ATGAAACCAGGAATGCAGTTAAATATGCTTACAGCTTTGGCCTCACCCAAATTAGGGAATTGGATCAAACAAAATGAACTAAACAGCTGCAAAGGACTAGTCAATCCTTTATCCAGCTCTTATTCTCTTTACTCCACTGTTATCTTGGGTCTTTTCCATTTCAAAGTCCAGATTATGCTCCAAACTGGGTCAATTTTTCAATATTTTTGAGTTTGTGCTTTTGAAAGGCATCCTTAGTTATAAGACGGACAGAATTAGTGTCAACGTCTGCATGCAAACTCATCACCACCACTAGAAAGACAGCCCAAAGCTTATGCCCTTCAGACAGGTCACTACTGTCTCCCACAAAAATCAAGGGTGCCTCATTTTGGTGTAACACACAGTGTTCTGGTAACCAGAATGGGATGGAAAAATGGAGTTGTTCTGAGGCTAGGTAACAATCTGATCTTGAACCAAAGAAGGAGGAAAGCTGAGGTAGGAGAAGCAGCAGCAGCAGCACACAACAATGCTTATCACCTGGCTCCTGGCCATCTGCCCCGCTGGGCTGCACACCTCTCCAAGGCACGGTCTCTGTTCACTTCTCAGTGGCATCTGACAAGTGCTTGGCTCATGGAAGTTGCTCATTTAGTGTTTGCGGAACAAATGCGTGGTGAACAGTAGAAAGAAAGTGTGTCTTTTGGCTCCATTTGGTGTTTAAACAGTTGTGAATATCAAAACTAAGCACGTAACTTCTCTGGGCCTCAGTTTTCTTTTCTGTGAAAGTAGAGTGTGTGCAGCAGAGGTTGCCAATTACCGCCAACATTGATTCTCATCTTTGTTGTGGATGTTTCTTGGATGAACACGCTTCTCCTCACAGCTGCTCTCTCAGGATTTTGCAGTCTAACTCATTAGAGAATTCTGACATGTGCTCTAAAGGAGCCGCGTTTCATGCTAGAATTGGGAAGGAGATAATCCTGGTGACATCTCACCAGTGCTGAAGGTCAGCCATGCGACAATGGATGAACCACATGTAAGTAACTAACAGCTGACCTGGGATGGGCAACCTAAGTTTGTAACCCTTGTTTAAATGACTTTCTAAGTGTAAATACCTAGAGAAGAGCCAGTATGGGCAATTTGTAGTGCCCAGGACATATCAGCGACCTCACAGCTTCATGAAGAGACTTTGAGGAATAAATGAAAAAATATTGCCTTTTATTTATTACGTTGATGCTTTGAAAGCTCTTTTGATATCTTCATTTTTAAAATATCCCTTGAAAAATAATATAAAATGAAGTGTACTCAACAAATGGTAAGAAAAAATGTATTGTTATTTTGAAAAAAACACTGAAGGAATTTATAAATAATATTTATGAATTCTGATTTTTATGAATAATAAGGCGGTCCACTATTATAATAGAATATTTCTTTCATCTGGGGAATGTAAATGCTTATTCTCCCAGGCCCACCAAACAAAAGGATTCAGAAAGTATCTTTTAATAACATATTGCCCCAGAGTTTATAAAGTATGATTCAATATACAGAAATTAGAATTTAAATCCATATGTACCTATCACAAAGTCTAAAAATGAATGAATAATTCAATGTGATGTCCTAAATAATAACATGGGAAAGCCATTTACATGATCTGTGGAAAACCATGTGACCACATGAGAGAACTTGACCGTATATGCCTAGCTATTCAATGTCAAAAACATCACCACCACATTTGTATGGTGGTGGGTGGAAACTAGGCTTTTGGTGGTGAACACGATGTGGTCTATACAGAAGTTGAAACACAATGATGTATTCCTGAAATTTATATGTTATAAACCAGTGTTACTTCAATAAAAATATACATATATAAACCCACCACCACCAACGGCGTTTTCCAAACCAACCCTCACCACAGATTAGCGCATGTCCTTAGACATCCCAAATTTCTCCTACCAAAGCAAGAGAATTTTCACAGTTCCGAAGCGCAACATCTCTCAAACTCCCTACTCAAATGTATACCACTAAACACACACACCCCCCTCAGCATTAGGGAATGACCAAAACCAACTCAAAGCTAGAATGAATTCCCTGTGTGGTGGAGACCCAACAAGCCATTTCAGAGCCAGATGAAGGATATCGGGCATCTCTTAAATGAAACCTGAGTCAGATACCTGCACACATACCAGTCCCCTCAATGTGTATTCAAGATACTGTTAACTTATGGCAAAATTCTTCCATCATAGCAGGGTGCAGTTTTGAATGTATGCAACTAGACTCCAGACTTTTCCAGTCTTTCCCAGTCTTTCCTGTTCACCTCAATTTAGCACTAGCTGATGGCTCCTGCTCTGTGTCATATTCTGCTCCCAGGCCAGAGATGAAGTCACGGTACTGGCTTTATGAGTTCTTGCAGCTGCACAACAGCCCGAGAGACTCTCACTGCCTTCTGGAGCAAGAAAACGTGCCTGCAGAGCTTCGAGCTACACTCGTCAGTTTCTAAGGCACCAGGGAGCCGCCTTCTTTTGCAGAGGGGACCTTCATCTTTGTAAAAGTTAGTCTCCAGGCATCCAGGTCAGTCAGGTGGTCCACTGCCACTCCAGAGCTTTCCTTAAGGCCCCGCCCTACATGGTTGTCGTGACAAGGTTAGAGCTTTTTCCATCCGTGTGCTATTATTTCCTGTCAGTTGGAACCTCGTGGGGCCAGGTTCCCAGCGGGTAACGTATTCAGATGAGTGTCCACACAGGTTTTGAGCTTTTGCTTTCTGCTGGTCTATTCTGTCCCCGCTGTTGGAAGACAATAAAGAAGCTTATTTTCCTCTGTCTTTGAAATTAGTCAATTAATTTCTTTAAAGCACTGAACAAAATTGTCTTCCACTTAGCAAGAATGGGGAAAAGAATTTACTTAGCAAAAGAAAGGGATGAGAAGAATGGTGGGATGGGGATAATGGAAGAGAATGACCAAAGTCATCTTTATACTATGACATAAAATGTTATAAAATGTTTGAGGGACAGCTATTTCCTTAAGCAGCCATCAGGATCAGGCATCTATTAAGTGGCATGTATCAGCATATAGCTACCAACATTTAATTGATTATAATACACTAATGTAATTAAAATTAAAACATAGAAATGGAATTTTAAAATATACTAACAGAATATTGCTTTTAAAAAATGTTTACTTAAATGCTTTTTCTATTGCCTTGTATATTAAAAGGACTGTATATTTAAAGGAATCCTTAGGTGTTTTTCTTAAGTCGTTGTGCTCCCTCCCTCACACTTTTCCCTGGTCTAGTTGTCTGGGGCAAATCTCCTTCATCAACAACCCTCCTAGGGAGAGGTGGGAAGGAGGAAAGAGACTGGGAAGCAGCGAGTCCAGCATCACTGGTTGGAATACTCTAAGTGATGCAATGAACTGACAGGTAAGGCTCGCTCCCTGCTTCTCTTGAGTCTGGGGTGCAGGGACAATGGAAGCAGGAACCAACTGAGACTTATTTGAGAGCTTGTATGATCATTCCATCTCGTCCTCTAAATGATTAGTAGGGTACAAAGAGGTGAGCATTTGCGACGATCTTTTTCCATTAAAAAAGAACACAGACAAGGATAGGCTTAACGGATTTGTTGTCAAACAGAAGGGCCGCTCATCTGTGGTGGGGAGGCTGGAAGGGTTTGGTTGGGGACGTTCAGGCCCTGGGTGGAACTGTTTCTTGAGGAAGTCTCTGGCACTGGCCTCACGGACTCAGCCACGTCTTCAAGGTGTATCCTATGTTCTACCTGTGTTCTTCCAAAGGTGCCTGGGGACCCTTCAGGAGCTCAACCTCCTATAAGAGGGGATCTGGCAGCAGAAACCAACATCTGTTTTCATCTGAACTAAAACAAGGAATCACCAAAAGCTTGACCAAAGGCAGCCCGTGAGGATGCCCGCGACTCTGCGAAGACGCACTCACTGTCCAAGACCTGGGGGCTGGGAGGTGTTCTCTAACGACAGGAAGAGAGGTCAGCTGCAAACACTCCTTTTACAAGAAAAATGCAACTGCTTGGAGCAGTTCACTTATGCTTGGGCTGAAGCAGATAAAATAAAGTGGTAAATGTATCTTGCTTCAAAAGCATTTTACACTGGAATAATACAAATGATTCTTTAAAAGCATTTAACTCCAGGGAAAACAAAGTCACCCACATGCCTCACTACTGGGGAATATAAACCAGACAAGCTTTATGGAGGACAAGGTGCCAATACATATCATAATTGTTAAACATATATATAACCCTTGTTCCGGTAATTCCAACACTAGGAATAAATACTACAGAAATAATCAGATACACTCACAAAGATTTATGGGCAATGATGCTCTTTATAGTGTTATTTATAATGGAAAAAAAGTCTAAAAAAGCAATAATGAGAGATTGCTTAAAAAACTATAGCATACCTATACCTTAGAATATTAGGCAGCCATATTTTAAAGGAATCCAATACAATTATCAAATGACTCCAATAAAAATTCTTTTAAAATTATTAAAAACAATTTCATAGAAAAAGATATTATCAGATAAAATAACGTTCTTGGTATATTTCTAGAAAGTAGATTACAAAAGAGTATATACAGCACAAACTCAAAAACTGAGGAAAAACTCAAACTATGTGTTCATTCATTTCTTGAGCACCAAAAGAGGGAGGATAAAGAACTGAACAAGATAGACAGAGGAAGTTTAAAGTGATTTTACCAGGTAGAAGGAAATATTAAAAATATTAATAGTGGTTATTTCTGTGGCATAGTATAGTCGGAGCCTTTAATCTTCTTCACTGTCCTTTTTATATTTTCTAAAATTTCCAAAAATGAACTTGTATTATTTTAAAGTCAGAAAACAAACCAAAAAGAGATGCTAGATGTCGTTTTACATTGAACTTTTAAGAATTCAATACATCAGAAAAGCACTAGTTTCGGCTCCTCAGCATTTCCAGACAGTTTTCCCGTCGCTGGGGAAGCCTGCGGAGGCGGCTGCTCATCGGCAGGGGGGAGGGGGCGGGGGGGGGGGGGGGGGCGCGTCAGAGGGGGAGAGAAGCGGAAGAGAGCGGCACCGTGTAGTCGACTCCCGGTGGCTTTGAGGAGGTCACTGGCCAGGGTGGAAGGACTCCTGTGGACCCAGGTTAGCAGGGGGCACATGGGAGCCTAAGAGCTTCCCTCGTTCCTGATTCTGTAGGTCACGTCCTCTCCCATTTCTTGGGCCCCAGGTCCTCTTCTGTATTAAGAGGCTGACAGTCCCTCTCGCCAATAAGCTGAAGAGTTGCTTTGGGATCTTTCAGGAAAGAGTGCTGAAGTTTATGCCATTTAGTCTGGGCCTCTGGGAACAGATACACGGATAGACGAGTGAGCGAGAGAACGAACGAACGAATGAATATGGAATTATCCAAAGACTGTCAAGAACAGCCGCTGCTAAAAAAAGAAAAAAAATGCTGAAAATATTTTTAGATTCAGAAAAATCATATTCTTCTTGGTAAGTGACAAAAATGGCTTAAAGCTAAAACTAAAACAAAGTTGTGTGAAAGGGCAGTTGCTAATAAAAAGATAAATTCTGTGGGTTCTATCATTTTTTTTTCGAGGAGGATTAGCCCTGAGCTAACATCTGCTGCCAATCCTCCTCTTTTTGCTGAGGAAGACTGGCCCTGAGCTAATATCCGTGCCCATCCTCCTCTACATTATATGTGGGATGCCTACCACAGCATGGCTTGACAAGTGGTGCCATGTCCGCACCTGGGATCCGAACCAGCCAACCCTGGGCCACCAAAGTGGAATGTGTGAACTTAACCATCGCACCACTAGCCAGCCTCAGTTCTATCATTCTTTTATTTATTTATCCATCCATTCAACAAATATTCCTGAGTACCTTCTCTGTGCCCGGCACTATGCTGGAGCAGGGTTACAAGGGGGAATGAAGCTCTGTCCTCCTGGAGGCGATTGTAGCTGGAGCTGTGAGCTGTCACGGAACCTGGTAGTTTTCATGTATTCAATTTTCATTAATCCAATAGACATGTATGGACCCCTTGCCATGGGGGCCAGGCACTGTGGTCAGCACAAAGAATAAACACAATCCTTTGTCTTAATAATCAACTGGCCTGGGGATGGGGAAAAATATGAGAAAAATCAATGTCCACAATACACCGTGATGAGTACCATACCAGGAAGCCCAATTTAGCTGGGAGGGGTCAGGAAAAGCTTCTGCAGCGAGGTGATGCTTGTATTGGGCTGTGTAGGAGTCAAACATTCATTTACTCTTCTGTTCAACAAATAGGAATGGAGCTTTACTTTGGGCGGGGCATTGTACTGGGTGCTGAGGATAAACTGATGAATAACACAGAAGTGGTCCTCAACCTCACGGAACTTATGGTCTGGTGAGAGAGAGAAATAATAAATCTGTAAAACAATAAACAAATAAATACATCAAATGATTATAGCTATAAAGAGCACAGTGAAGGATACAAACAGGATGCTGTGATGGAGGATAACATCGGGGCACCCAAGGAGAACAGCACACTTGAATTTAGAATGAGTGGAAGAGGGTCAGCCAAGGGCTCTCTGAGGAGACTTTATTTATTTGAGACTGAAGGTTGTGAAGCACCCAGCCATGCAAAGAACTAGGGAAAGAGCACTCCAGGCTAAGGGAACAGCTAGTGCAAAGGCCCTGTGGTGGTGACAAGAGACAGGAAGAAGGCCAGTGTGGAAGGAGCATTGGTGCTGGAGGGAACAAGTGAGGTGGACCGGGTCATGCTGGGCCTTGTGAGCCATGGTAAGGGTAGGCCATTGAGGGGCAAAAGAGTGACAGATCTGGTGTATGCTTTAAAACCATCCATATGCTACTCTCAGGAGAAGGGATTGGGGTGAGGGGTATGGGGAGGAGGTGAGAATTCCAGCAGAAAGATCTGTGAGGTGGCTTCTGCAATAGTCTTTGTTAGACTCTGGTGGCATGGAGGTGAGAGTGAGTCAGGAAGGAGGACTGGGGAAAGGCAGTGGGAAGCCTTCTGGGTAGAGGAAGCCATCTGTGCAAATGAGAAGAGTGAATAGACATTTTAGGAAATGACAAGCAGTTTTTTGTAGCTTGAACATAAAGGTAGAAAGGTAGGAAAAGGTCAAATCATAAATAGTACTGTATGCCAGAATAAGGAGGTTATATATTATCCTGAGGGCAATAGGAAACCACTGGAGAGTTGTTAGCAGCAAAGTTCCGTGAACAGAATTGAGCATTAGAAAGATGTGTTGGAGGGTGGCTTCAAGGCAAGCAGAGGGGGCACTGAAGGTAGGCAAGACTGGTGATGCTGAGACCATCTAGGAGACCATTGGCCTTAAGATGGACTGAGATAGGGAAACCTGGCTCTGCTACTTACTGGCTGTGTGACCTTGGGCAAATCACTTAACCTCTCTGAGCCTTAGTTTGCTCAACTGTACAAATGGGAATACTTACTTGACAAACTTTTCATGAGGATTACATTAAATGGTAGTGGTAAAATTACCATTTTATCATTTCATGAGGACTACATTAAATGGATTAAATGGTAAATGCAATGAGGATTACATAAACGGTACAGGAGAGAGTGCAGCTCATAGCAGATGCTCAGTCTTAATCTCCTTTCCTTCATAATCCCCATCCTGAGATCACAGTTCCAAAGAGCATTCCCAAATATTTAGTGTCGCAAAATAAATAGCCAACGATCCGCTGGCTGATGACGTTGCTACTCCAGACAATCTGAATAAAGCGTACAAAGGAAAGTCAGTAGTAACTGGAAAAGGAAATGGCATTTCCTGCTTCCTCATAAACCGGAAATAAAAAGTTGGCTCAATTTTTATTTATCCACAAAACCATCATTAAAAATCAGATAAAGAAAATAAATGTCAGTTGCACCTCTGTTAGATGAAACTCTAAGCTCCTTGAAAGTGTTAGAGAAAATCTCGTGCTGGGACAGCAAAGAGCATTTTACGCAGTTAAGACTGTGCATTGCCTGGGTGGCAAGGATGATTCTGAAATACAGGTCATGAATCCCTTATCTAAAACTCCTGGCCAGATGTGTTTAAAATTCAGAATTTTTCAGGTTTTAGAAAGGTAACACGGTGCATATGCCATGTATTACATGACACCCCTGGTCTGGGGTTATTACTATTTCTGCAGTAAAATATAAGAATATTCATCCTAAGTGGGATAAAGAAACCCATAAAGAGCTTCAGCTTAGGTTAGGTGAAGTTTTCCTACTTAATGAGTTTGTGTCCAGCTTGGAAAAACTTTCCTTGCTCAGACTTTGGGGATTTTTGAATTGTTTTTCAGAGATTGGGGTGCTAATGCGTTTCCCCTGGATTTTGTGTACTCCTTAACCCATCCCCTCCTTTGCGGGGCCCACAGTGGCTGCAGAGGGACTGAGTTGTAGCGGGGTCAGACCCAGCCTCTCCCTCCACCCAGACCCTCTGCTCCCTCTGCCCTCAGCCCAAGCACCGACGCCTTCTTTATTCATGATATCCTGGTGTCACTCCCTTAAACCAAACCTGGGACCCTATCCCCACCCCGTCTACCTCTTCTGTCTGAAAGTCACTTCTACACAGCTCCAGTGCCCTGCCTCGGGATTCCCATCGTCCAGGTAAGTATTCTGGGACACCTAAGTGACTTTTGGTCTGCACAGCAAACCTCTGGGGCCCACATTTTCTAATCCCAGCTCCAGCGTTTCCAAGACTTTTATATTTATACACATTTTGACTTCTGTATGCACTATATCGTGTTCACCATCAAAGGTGTAGTTTCGATCTGTCACCATACAAATTTCCCTCTTTAACCGGTTCGCCCTCCTACCACCCCCATTGCCCATCTAGTAACTTTTGGGGTGGTAAATTTATTCAGACTATAGTCAGACGTGAGGGAAAAATAGTAGTTTCTTGATTAACTGATGATTTGATCTGACTTTCCTCACAAGTTCCCCACCCTGCTGGGTAGAAATGCGGGTTGGATAAATTTAGTGCAATTCGATCAACGCTTTCGTATTGTGGGCAGTCTGCTTAAGTAGCACAGCTCCTCGTGGATCTATTACCCAGTTTTCAGATCTCTTCCTCATCTCTCCTCATCCCTGAGATAGCAATCAGAGTATGAGAGACGCTTACTGTGGGCTTAAGGCAGTGGAGTGGTGGGTCCTCAGAGCTATGTCGTGTCCTCTGTTTTTTGTGGTGCTCCTTGGCGGTCCTGTTGCTGCCCACCTGGCTGGCCTCTGCAGTTGACATTGGCAGCTGGTTTAACCTGTGGTCTAGTCTCTCTCAGCTTGGTCAGGAACAATGGTGTTCTTTGGCTGGGCTGGCCTCATCTCAGCTCTCACTGACTCTATAGACCTCTCTGGGTGTCGGTGATCCACCCTTATCCTCTGCTGTGAAAGTCACTTCATCCCTTCTTATGGTGCCTGATGGCAAACCACGGATCTCAAACAGCTGCGGTCAAAGACCCCTTTAAATGCATGCAGGAACTTCTGGGCCTTATCCATGACGCAAGGTATGGAGAAGACTGCTGGTGAGCAACCAAATCTGTTCTCCCTTTGTTCCATAATAATAGAATTGTAGCTGGGCAAATATGGCTGCCCAGTTACACTACATTTCCCAGCATTCCTTGTGGTTAAGTTTGGTCAGGTGACCAAACTCTGGCCAGTGAAATATGAGCACACTTTTGGGCCAGAGTCTTATGACATTGGGTATACCTCTTCTACCCTCTCTTTTCCCTTCCTACCAAATGGAACCTAGACATGGCAGTCACATACTGTTGATGACAAAGCTCTAGGCTCTGTGGCAGAGTACTTACTAGAAAAAGAATCTGAGTCGCTCAATGAAGAGCTGGCCCCAGCCTGGGAACTCACCTCAGATCATTCTAGGAGAGAATTTTTTCCTCAAAGGACTGTAGAGTTGGGCCCCTTGGCTTCAGCAGCAGTTTTCCAACAGCAGCTACAAGGAACTGATGGCAGTTAGGGAAAGCCACACCCAGCCTTACACTAAGTATCTACAATGTATCCCTTGGCAGAAGTCCTCTCTCCTTGGGGGTCCTCTCATCCTGACATATCCCTCTGTCTTGGAGCCGGAGACCGAGGTCCACAAGGCCTTATCTGGCCTCTTTCTCCCTGCCTCTGTCCATAATTTATATGCACATGCATGTGGGCTTTGGAGTTTCTTTCCCCCTTCCAGTTATAAAAATAAATAAGTCATGGGAATATAATATACAGCATGGTGACTATGGTTAATAATACTGTATTGTATATTTGAAAGTTGCTAAGAGAGTAGATTAAAAAAACTCTCACCACAAGAAAAAAAATTTGTAACTATGTATGATGATGGACATTAACTAGGCTTATTGCAATGATCATTTTGCAAAATATACAAATATCAAGTCATTATATTGTACACCTGAAACTAATATAATGTTATATGTCAATTGTGTCTCAATAAAAAATAAATTCCTCCCTCTCTGAATGAAACCTGGCTTTCACACTGTCTGCAAAATCCTATTTTGACTCATGAATGTGGAAAGGCAAAAGAGAAATGCTCATTAACAGTTTTTGAAATATTGCCTCTCATGACATATACAAAAAAGGGGAAAAGATTTACATCAAGATATTTACAGTATTTATAACTGTATGACAGAATTATGTGATTTTTTTATCCACTTATTTTGATTTTCTTTATTTTCTGGCTTTTCTACGATGAACATACTTGGTTAAATTTATTAAAAAATCAATAAAAGTTATTTTAAAAATATGCCTGGCGCACCATCAGTTGGGAAAAGCCAAATAACGGTCTCCGTGGGAACTCATTTAAACTTGTCAGAGCAGTTAAATTAATTAGGTCTTAACTGACATTTAACAGCCAGGGTGGCAGGCCTGATATAACTTAGCAAGGACTTAGAAAATTAGGGATAATAGCCTACAGATTGTATTCTTGCAAAGCCTGCTCAGTTCAGGGGAAACAGCGCATCAAGCAGGGTTTCAAAAAATGCCTAACAAGTTACTTCTTTTTCCTGGAGAGATGCATGGGTGAAATATCCAAGACGAAACACAAACCCGTTTGTGTTGGCATTCCTCCTCCGTGCATTATGACAAGGGAATTATTGCAGGCTTTGCTGGAATATTTCATGTATGGATCATTGTAAACAAATCCTGGGGCACTTTTCCCCGTAACAAAGAGGGACATAGAGCTCTCGTCTTTGTTAAGTAAATTTCCTTGAAAAAAATAAAACACAAGAGTTATATTTATAATGTCCAGGAGGAAAAATAAAATTCAGAGTTTCCAGGAAAGTGTGAAACAAACTCTGCAACTAGAGGGAAGAGAGGGGCTTCCTTGCCATCACGGTGGCCCGGCCTGGCCTGGCCTGGGACAGAGACAGGTGAGGAAGGAAGCGAGGAGACAAAGGAGGGGGACCCAGCAAGCCTCGCAGAGTCCTCTGAAGGAAAGTACAGCTGAAATGTCCCAAGCGGGAAACTCAAATCTCAGCCTTCAGGAAAAGAAAAAGTTTCGCAGGGAATTCTAAACTCTGTATTTTTGCTTCAGGTGGGTCTGGAGAGAGCATCTTGCCCTGTGCATAAGTGAAGCGAACAGAAATAGCCCTCATCTCCAGAGGGCAAAGGAACTCGCTCAGCGGTTTTCATTTTTCATTGCGGAAACCTCCACAGCCATGTCAGACACTGAGTCAAAGTACAAGCAGAGGGGGCTGCCGAACACTTCTAGGGCAAAGGTTTCTTTCTGCAGTTCCACCGATCCCAGACTATTACCTGTCTGGGGCCTGCTAGGCTGGGTCCTAATCACTTCCAGCTGTGTTGGCTCCTACAGGCGCCCCCCCAGCCCCTCCTTGTCTGGCCTCCCTGCCCTCTACCTCTCTTGTAGGAAAAATTAAGTATTGCACTTAAATCCCCCCTTAGGACTTGGGGATCTTGAGCAGGAGCCTCGCCACAGCATCCATCTCCAGCAACAGATGACAGGGCTGGCTTGCTTCACATGGGGTGTCTCCTTTCTGCCCTGTGGCTAAGCGCTCCTCCCCGGCCCTAATCAGTTACAGCTGCGCACACAAAGACAGGTAGGTCCCTCACAGCTCCACCGCAGAGAACCCTTGCCCTCAAAACCCCAACCTAGTACCCTAATCCCCCCAATTCCTTCTTAGGGCTTGGTTCCTTAGGGCTAAATTAACCCTCTCCAGGCTGTCATCTTTTGACTTACATGTCTTTCTGCCCGCGTGGCTAGTATCTCCATCAAATCAATTCAGTACAAAGCTTTAGTGACTTGGGGGATTGAAAATCTGTGGCTAGAATGAAAATGGAAAGTGCCTGACATTGTACTGCCACTATCCTTTCCCTTACGCATGGAGACATCACTAATCAATCACGGAGCGGTTCTCCTGCCTGATGAACTAAGACTGAGGCTTCACGATCTCCAACACAGCATGCCAGGGAGACACTAAAGCTTGGAAAGAATTGACAGATTTGTTGAAATCTCTTCGCCATGTTTGGGTCAAACCATAGGATGCCTACTGGGCAGTAGTGAGCAATGGGTCTGGGTCAGTGGGCGGGGATTGCCTGCATCAATGTTTGTTTTTTTTTTTTTTTTTAAAGATTTTATTTTTTCCTTTTTCTCCCCAAAGCCCCCCAGTACATAGTTGTGTATTCTTCGTTGTGGGTTCTTCTAGTTGTGGCATGTAGGACGCTGCCTCAGCGTGGTCTGATGAGCAGTGCCATGTCCGCACCCAGGATTCGAACTAACGAAACACTGGGCCGCCTACAGCGGAGTGCGCGAACTTAACCACTCGGCCACGGGGCCAGCCCCTGCCTGCATCAATGTTTTTCAAACTTGACCTTAAGCAGAATCACCTGCACAGTTAAACCACAGGTTGCTGGACCCCCCACTTCCAGAGTTTCTGGTTCAGTAGGCCTGGGGTGAAGGCCCAGGTGATGCTGCTCCTGGCCTGAGGACCACACTTTGAGAACCACTCGTCTGCATCATACCAAGAAACTTGAACTTTATTCGTCAGGCAATGTAGAATCCTTGAAGGATTTGAATCTAGGTGGGAGGGGTTACGGGATCAGGTTTACGCTTTCCAAAGCTGGGGCTGCCATAAGGTGGAGGGTTGCCTTGAGGGGACTGCGTCTGGGAGCAGGAGGGCTGAAGAGGCTGTTGGCATGGTCCAGATAATTTCACTCAGAGGTGTTTCACAGAATCTTACAGAATGAGATCCTGGCAGCAAAATTGCACTGAGCAGCCTCCAGGAGCCTGAGAAAGGTAGAATGTTGAGAAACATGGTCTAGAAGAAAGCCCCAAAAGGAGATGGGGGGCGGGAGGAGGGATTGGGCTCAAAGGCAAATGTTGGCCATTTCCCAAGTTTGCCAAGGGCTAGGTGGATTCCCAGAACAAGAGACTGCGACCTGCCGACCTGCCGAGGAGTCCTCAGAAGTGACACTCACCAGGCAGACTTGCGAAATACATAGGGCTGGCTCCCTCCCTCTCCTTCCTGTGGGGAGATGCTCTTAGGGGGAGTGCTGCTTCGAGAACAGGTGGTGATAATTACCAGGAGACCAGCAGTTTCCCTGCCTCATCTTTCAAAGTGTCAGAAAGACTGACTTAGAAAATTATGGAGTGCAGGAAGCTTCCTCATTCATTCAGTTCAGTAATATTTGGCAGAGCCTGGTCATTCTGACTTAGTGTCTGATGTGTAATTTTGAAAGGACATTAAAAAATATCTAAACTCTACTACATACTTTCCTGAGGAGGATAGGCCTAGGGTTACTAACACACGTAGAGTCAAAGGGAATTCAGAATTCTACTACACATGCCAGACACATAAGTAAAGCGATATCAGAATCTGCACTAATAATAATAATACCTACAAATGGCACCATGTGAGACCCCTGCTTGTCAACTGTAGTGGATTCTCATGACTTTAGACGTCCCTTGACTCACCTATAGGCCGCAAAATTGGTCAGAGTGGCTCATTCTGAGTCTGCGCTGTGCATTGTCACATCTCGCTTTGTCTAGACAGTTCTCCAGCTATGAGATTCCTGAACCTTGCCTCTCTGCCTTAAGATCTCTCTCAAATTCACCTGCATTCATAACTTTTTTTTGAACACACCAACCCATCGCCATCCCTCTCCCCGCTGAAATCTTACAGAACTTACTGGTTGAGCATATCCTTTGGTCCTTAGAATTGGCTCTCTGGTATTAGTTCCCTTTTCAGGAGAAAAGTCCTATCTCTCCAGATCAATAGTAAATTCTTTGAAACCTGTAGTAGTTAGGTCTCATTTGTCTGAAAGTGAACCATTACACTCATGTTAAACTTGCATGGGTGACGTGGCGAACGCCTTGGCTCAATTCCTAAATCTCTGGGAGATGAGGCCTGCAGTTGGGTCTCAGGTACACCTGGGACCAGGGCCACAAACGCTGCCAGGATGCTCTCTCCTCCTCTCCATCTTTTTTTTAAAAGATTGGCAACTGAGCCAACATCTGTTGCCAATCTTCTTTTTTTTCCCCCACTTCTTCTCCCCAAAGCTCCCCAG